AGAAAGCAGTGAGCCTCAGCATACTTTTGGTGAGTTATCGGCAAGAACTGGCCCATAAGACCGCCCGACCAGCCAGCGGTGTGAGCTGAAGGGGCTGCAAATATTAGTTTGCTGGGCACTCTGACGCCAACCTTGGAGAAGTGGCCAATGAAGGTCACAATGAGCATCAGGGTAGCTTCGATCACTAGCCTGGCTTCATGAGCTTGTCCTCTCTTACTCCTCCCTCACTTGAGTATTCTTTTATTCGTTGAAAACGACAGGTACGATCGGACAGTCAATAAGACCTACATCAGGGTTGAAGCTTTCGATTATTGCAACGGTACTTAAGATTTCTTAAGGTATAGAGCTTCTATTGGAACGTATTCTTCTTCGCCGTAATCCATCAGCAATAGCTATTGTACGTCTGATGAGACGCTGTCGTATGGGAGCCGTTCAAGTTTCCGTGCAGTTCATCTTCATGCAGCTTGTTCTAATGGAACTGTTCTGCGAGGTAGTACTCCAATTATTCTTTTTCTGATGTCATCTAGTGAATATAGAAATCGACTTTTGGAAATGAGCAGAGAACTGTTAGGCGGGGTACCACGAATGAGCAGGAAGCCACCTTACTCGAAATTCAGAAGTGCATTAGCATGGTTCTGAATGCGAGCCAAAGGCATGGCGCGACACAAAGACTTTATCCCCATTTTAATCATATCTTTTCATTCATCTCTACTATAACTAGTCATGTCGGAACTGATTTCGAGGTGGGCGCCTCATCATGCATCATGGTTCAGGGATGGAATACCGTGTCGGTACTTACCACCGAGCTCAATCGTGCCTTCCTTCCTCCAGGGCCGATTAAATACTACCAGGCTCAACTGATAGGGTAAAAGCCCCAACTTGTGCATCGTTTGGTCACCGCAATTCATTGTATTGGCCATGCACGCCGTCAAAACGCCACTACGAATTTGAATGGAAGATGAATGCAGGGCGCAACCCAAAACACACCCTTTTATTGATCAAAAGATGTTACACGTCGTAACTCAACAACTCGTTAAATTAAGTGGAGTAATGAGCAACGATCCTTTGCTGCTCATTAGGTTCAGAGATCAAATCCAGCGTACGCAAACAAATGGTCCCATTGTCTTAAAATGACGTCAGCTTGGTTCAAAATGATCAAAACACCAAAACCCCTACTATTACCCATTACACATCCTATCTACCTCGCCACAATCACTAAAGACGACGTATGAGCGTAAAAAAACACTAGAAACTCATATAAAAAAGTTATTACGACTTCATAAGAAATTTTGAGCGTAGTTCATCCTCAGAATGGCGGGCATTTCGATTTTTTAAATCATTATTTCATTATATGTAGTAGCTAACTTACAATTATATTCACTTATCATACTACACTGTTCAGGACGGCATAATGGATCCAAACGATCCGCGAATGACTGATTTTCGGAAGAAATACGAAAGGCTGTTAACTCGTTATAACGAAGGTCTGGCCAAACGACAGAAAGTCTCACCTTCGAAGGGATCGACTTTAAGCGAAGAAGCGACGACTGAAGCAAAGGAATGATTCATTGGAATATAGGGAAAGATCTTATTAGACTACTTCTAAACATCTCAATATCGTATCTCATAACATTTAATAATGAGAATATTAAACCCAGTCAATAAAGTCCTTTAATGATTCCTTTAATGATGTTTCGATTTTGTTATTTTGAGTTTTACTGTATAACTAAGTCTAACATAGCTTCTAGTGAGGGCTGGCAAATATTTGCCCTAGAGTATTTTATGAGAATCTTGTGATTTACTGCGTCAAACGATTTTCATGGAATTTCCCACCCAAAGCCGATTACTGAGTACCCGATATCCGCCGAGGCTAACCAAGCTGTCCATTAATCCTAGGTCGGTCAATCGGAACCCTGACCCGCCTGGGAGTATAAATGCATTGACTTGTATATCGGCTGACCATTGTATAGACCACAAAGGCCATTGTATAGACCATGTCATTGTATAGACCACAAAGGCATTGAAAACGTGACTACAATTCTGAATGGAAGTCGAATGCTATGCGCATCCTAAAACGGGATCGGCGAACAGTAAAAAACGTAGACCGTTATCCTCCTATCCACTATGGGAAAATTATAAAAAACGAAAGAAATACGCAGGTGTTGATCCATTCCTACCATAGTAAAGAACGCGCTCCACAGAAGTCAATCCCCAAAGTTTTGCTGCTCAATACTGAAAAATTACAGCAAAGGGCCTGGATAACCATCAATCCTTCTCCGGAAATCAATAGGCATCCAATACATTTGGAGAATTTTTCGACGCTCCGGAGCGATGCAAAGTATGAACACGTTCTGAAGCTTAAGTTTATCATACACGTTGAAAGTTCAGGAAATACGCAAACAACCATCGGCTGCCTAATTTCCACGGAACTTGATAGTGTTGTCTACTTTTTTTCTCGCGAAGCCTTCGAAAATTCCACCCCCAGTCGTCACTTTGAGCAGCAGCCAGATTCGTTTCTTCGTATAGCAAACCCAAAATTCGAAGTTTGAACAGCTCAAAGAGTTTTTGCCATCTTTTATAGGACAAAACTCATCTTGGACAGAAGTTTGCCACCTTAGGCTTATTTAGTGCATATCACCTCTAAAGATTTTTCGACATACGAGATCCGAATCTAAGGAACAGCAGTCGACTCTTCAGTACACACATTTTAATATTTTCGTTGTAGCCTACCGTAATTACACATTAATTCACCATTTATTGAATCGAGCACACCGCCGTACTTCTCGACTGATCGATGTGCCGCCGTCGCGGTTCTCTGACGTCGTGCGTGACTTCTCCTTGAACGATCGCGATGTCCGCTTCTTGTTCGACTCTCGTCAGTACAATACGTAGCACATCAGCAGCGACTTGTCTGAAAATGATTGTAATTGATGAGCAGCAGACAGTGCCATTGATTTCTGACCTGTGAATGAATAGATGGCCAGTACTTATAAGCGTACTATGCGCACAGTCCTGGGATCAGATCCCAGCTCAACACCCACTACACCAAGCCTTTCATCTCCCTATAAAGACTGGATACAGCTGGCATAGTTCATGCACAGGGAATGGTCAGAGATGAAGTAGTGGTAAAAACGAAGCCATCACAAGCAGAGTTTAGAGTCCAGCCATACAAACTAATTTCTCTCCTATAACCTCCTTTAAACGCAAAATCAGGAGCGGACTGTTACTATAGAATAAAGTGCCGAGCTTCACATTTGATGGTGGCAAATATAGTTGAAGTAGGACACGCATTCGAAGACCACCACATCTCTCAATGTAAATGAAACGCATGGCTCACTCTAGAACGAGGAAGGCAGATCCCGAATCAAGCACTTCACATCTAAGGTTTTGATCAAACATGATGGTAAGGAGGGTAGAAACCTTTGCACTGAAGCTCGATCGACTTCCGTCATCGTTTAGTACCGACAAATGCATTAACCCTGTTTTCGAACCACTTACTATAGGAAGCTTCCATTTTTTATAAGTAAAAGGTAAATTACATAAAGGGTAAAGCAGTTGGGCGTTGATCGATTTCTTCTGTAGGGGGCGCCCCGCATACGATTTCTATTCAGAGTCGTACTGGCGTATTGATTACGTATGTGACCTATACAATGTTTCAAGGTGGCCAGACGATGTACAAGTTAGGGTTCCATCCTCCCAGCTGGAGCTGGTAATACTTGACTGACTCTGGAGGGAAGAACTCGGAGCTCTATGGTGTTGGTCCAGGATTCGATCCTTGAACCCTGCTTAAGATGGGGCGCTACTTGGAACCACTGTCAAAACGTTCAGCATACCGCGTTACTCCCATGGAAACCCCTCGGGGAGGTAAAGTTCTAAAAAAATATGTAGAGGTGATCTGTATCCTCTCAAACGAGCCCGATGTCATTTCGATGCGTTCAGAGGGTGTAAGGGTTGAAGCTCATGAGGAAATTTCGATTCCTTCCTTTGTCCGAGGGATAAGAGGCCGTTTCAATCGTTGCGCCACCTATGTCCGGCTCAGCATGCACCATATGAATTTCATAAACGAGATTTATACTCTTCAAGACGTTTTTCAAAAAAAAAAACTAATATGATAAAGTGTTTGGGGAAAACTATGCCAAAAAGAACAATATTTAGGCGCATCGACCCTCCATTCGGCCCCGAGTTTACACAAGAATGCGATTGTTGCGTCAAAATTTCAGCTCTGCAACAATTGACAATATTTACTGTTCTACCCTTCATAGATGTTTATGTGTGAGTGTTAAGGCCTGTTGTGTTGACCGCTCCTATTTTCAGATTACGGTACGTGTGACCAAGTGTAACTGGTGTGCTTGTTGACATCGACTATGAGGCTTTGGATTGGTCTTTAAAGCACACCTGATTCATGTACTCTAACAAAACACTTACGAATGGCAACACCGGAACAGTAAACTGCTTACTATGTTTTGGTACCGGCCACTTTTCGCTATTGTTTAGGAAAATCAATCGAAATTCGATATCAGGTCTCCAACAATCTTGCACTAAGCGATGGCTCCTTAGGCGCTAATTTCTCTCTGTTTTCCTTATCTAACAAATAATACTTATACATGCAGTTGTATTTCACCATCTAAACCCCGTGTCAGAAAGTCCACCTGTTGGAAAAATCGGAAGAATTCCACGAAGGAGATCTGGCTATCGAATGCCAAACGTTATAGTTGAAATTTCCATCTCTCCGGATTCGACTGACTGCTTGTCTGGGATGTTTACGCCAAGCAGGCCATTTATGGGCCATTACTCATCCAAATCCCCACTCTATTGCGAATGGAAGTTCAGTGCGGGGCGCATACCATTCAGTCGATGCCGAATACCTTATCCCTGATCCTTTCTAGGAGCCCTCAATATTCTCAGGGCTGAAAGCCCGCACCGATCATTTCTTTCACCTACCGGATTCATGAGTTTTTAAGGATTGGTAAACTCTCATGTCAGTTAAGTACTCTTAGACACAGAGCAGGGACAACAAAGGAATCTAACCGTAAGCGCAGGAGTCGGCAGGAACATTGAGCTGCAGGAAAACTCTGAAAAGACCGGTGGAATATCCGCACAACAAACTCACAAGTCCCTTCGTCCCGACATCAGAAACTTTTTGAACATTGCCGAAATCAATTCAGTTCTTTCTGCTATAGACGCTCTCATGTTGCAGTATTGTTCAACAATCGGAATACGATCGGTCGCTCTGTTCAAAGGCTTCATCCGCTTTGGCTGTACCTGGCACAAACTGGTACATGTTATGTGTTGGTGCTGTCCTTTCAAAATACATCTGGCGCAAGTCAAATGCGGTCACAAAAACCCCCTTTCGTTACATGTGACTCTGTTGTGGGTGTACGAGACAGCAGGATGTCAATGATGTTTAGTCGCACTTCGAGGGTTACGGTACCTGGGCGCAGGAGGCGTAGGTAGCGACCCCAACTGGTGACGGTTTGATCGTTTGTTAAGGCCCTCTCTAGATGGGTACGGTATAGGTTGAACTTGCTGCTTATTAGCGAAAGTTGATGTCCTTTTCGTCGCGATATTCTGTACTACGGAAGTAGGGAACTGGTAATGGCCCCCTTCGGAAACTCGTGTTTCCCCGAAAATTGTTCTGTCGACCAACCACATTACAAAACTCAGAAAATAATGTGTGACCAGGTCATCCGACTCATGATTTTTGCCGTTTATTTTTCAAATTGATCATAAAATTAAATTATTCCAAANTAACAAATAAACGAACGGTCCCCGTTCTATTGAATGGACGGCAAGTTTGCGAGGTCGCAAACAAATGCTGCTCTGCTTTGCACTTTGCGCGTCCCTGCAAGTGACATGACGCCCTTCCAGTCACCAATTTCGCAAAATTCTCCTCCCACTCCCTTCTGCACGTCTCGTTACCTCTCCGCCTACGTCCATCTGCCCCACCAAAAGTAGAGTGCAATCGACTGAAAGGCAGCAGCATTTTATGCATTACATAAATGTTATGAAAGGTTAATGGTGGTACAGCTCGACACGTACATCACAGAAAAATCAACAGCCTTTCTGGAACGGGAAAACATTTTCAATGAGCCGTGCGGGGTATAGACGTTGGTATGGTTGTGCATCAAAAATCGCTTTTCCATTCACCCTTTCATCGAAGGATAGGAATACCAGTTGGATGGTTTTCTCATGCGAACAATTACCAACCAATTAGAATCACCATTTCAAATAATAGTCAAAGAATTACATATTGCAAGAGGTTGGGAACAGATAAAGAAGAGTCATTAAGTTTGGAATTACTATAACCAACAAAACCGGGGGACGAGCAATCGGTTCCAAGTTAATCCGGAAGGACGGACATATGAAGTCTATGACTGACCGAGCATACGATTCCTAGTTGGGACAACTTTCCCAGCAAAATCTCTGTCCGTAATAGAAGTCAACTTGCACGGCGCATCCCAGAGTGTTGGTACCCATGCCCTTATCTGCCACTGAACTTGCCCATTGCTGAGAATCACATATCCACGCCTTTGCACTCCTGCCAGACACTGAAGTACTCAGATAAGCAACCAGAAACTGCTAGGAATTGTCTTGGCATCGATTCGATTCCCCTGTACAACATCCCACGCCGACTGTCTGTACTTGTTGGTAAACATTGCGGGAATCGGAACAAAAACGCCTTCAAGTGCAAAGTAGAGGCCTTTCTCCCGACGTCTGCGTCATCAAAACGATTTCAGGAACGATAATGTCTGGGAAACAACGGAGCGGTAGAGGGGGGCTTACAGAACATCGACCAGTTGGACGTCGATGCGAACGACTTTTTGCTTGTTTATGTGAGTCATTGCTGGTTTCGAGCAGCCGCGTCAACAGAGTTTTTCATCGTTCCCCATCACAGTGCTGCTATTGGCATGAGGTGGTTTCCAGCACTGTTTTCTCGTCGTTATTGATCAGGACGAGGAATCCTGTTGTTACAATGAGAAATTTCAGCAAACAACAATGAGTAACGCACAATTTCTAGACCCTCACAGTTCAGGCTCAAAATTTCATGGGGGCTAGCGGACTTTGTAGGGTCCAACCCCCTTCTTCCGGTCTCTTTTCCTCCTATGCATACACTTCCCAATGCCGCCATAGGTTGTATGATGTAGCCACGACATCGCTCCTGTTTTCTAAACATCCCAGTCTACGAGACTTACGATTAGCTTACGATTTAATCGTGAAACCCGGATGTTATCAAAAAGTAAGCAGATGAGCTTAAACGCCGACACGCCATAAATGTTCACAGCTCAGAAGATCAGCTGACAGATCCGAAGCTGCCATATTCGACGATAATCCGTTTATTGCTTAACTCGTTTCCTCTTTTTGGGATAGAAAATAGGCCAAGAAACTGCTACCCATGTCGTTGGGGAACTTGGTAATGGAGAACAGGGAGAAGGACAAATCGCATGTCATTACAGAGGTGGTGAGCTACGAGCACAAAATTTGCCTGGGACCACTCCAGCGAGAGCGAGTTTCCATGATGCTACAAACTTTCCACGGCTCCTACTCCAACCAAGTCTCTACCTACAATAGTTTACGGTAACTAAACCGCTGAGATATGAGGGGCAATCGTTCGTGGTTGGGCAGAGGATAAACGTAGCATCGAGAAGACAGAAAGCCAGGTACGAGTCGTACGGGAAGACCACTTTTTCAACTCCCAGCTCACTACCCAAGAGGGAACTAATAATCCCATTGTGAACATCAGAAAAGAACAGAAGTTGGTAGGCCACCACCAAATCTGGCCATTTAAGTTCCCGAACAACAGTTCTTTATCACAGGAATGTTACAAATTTGTGTGACAGTAGTCCGACAACCAGTCTAAACCTCTTTCGAAGTAAGTCTGAAGATCGTTAGAACCTGGGTAGCTGCGTAAATTCCTTGCTCAAGTATGATTGTTTTCCTGATGACTTTCTGCCGTTGCTTGGATGAGTGCTTCTGAACTTTCCTTAGTCACATATCGGTTACTATGACTAGAAATAAATAGGGAATTCTATTTGTACTCATCAGTAAGGAGTTCAAATCCAATGAAAACAATAAGCATTCTCGTACTGAGGGGAAATTAAAGAATACATAAAACCTATTCACACGACATAGTCACAATTATTCATAGAAACAACCTCACGTGAACTTTCGAAAGTCATTCTAACTAAAGAAATACTGAACTTCCAAAAAACATGCAAAATTTAATTGGTATAATTCGAACCCAAATATTTCACCTAAAATTACCTCGAGATAGACGTAGGGGTGAATTGCTTGTCCTTCCTTGGCCAACCGCAAGTAAATACTTGAAATTCTACAAGAAATTTGAGAAATTATGAGGACCCGCTTAATCACCAGCTGGTCAAGGACCAACAAAAAAACGCGCACATAAAATCTGACCATAGTGAGATGAAAAGTCCATCAGAGCCGGGAACATAGAGGCGTTACTATTTGACAAAATTTGCGAGAACGAACCATCACTTCGGAAGATTCCCATTACTCAACTTATCAAATCTGTACTTTCGCACTGCCATGAAAAACTTGCTCTGAAATTTTGTCTAAGCAAGTAGCTGAGACAAGCCCTCCCTCAAGAAGCCCATGCAAAAATTACGCCTAAAAAAGACTGATCTATGCTATAGGAAGGCCTGTTAGCTACCGAAAGAAGATATCTTCAAAATATCTCATAATCCCATTTTTAAGGGTTGTTACGGACATATTGAAGCGCTGGTAGGCTCTCTAGGAGGCCCTAAAAGGATTAAGCGATGAATTTTCATTAGATGACCGTTCAAAACGGGCTATCATCGCTTGAAAGATAAAAAATAAATAAACATCTTCAAACGAGCATTCCCCTCTTTTTTGAATAGTTTCAGTAAGTAGAGGTGAGACCGATCCATACATCATGCACATTGATAACGGTAATTCGACAAATCATACTTTAGTACTGGCAAGCCTTCCCGGACGCCGAAAAAACGGCGAAAGGGCAGACCTAGTGAACTTTCAACGAACTGTCGTTCAGCGATTTTCAACGACTTCAAATCAACATTTTGAAAGTTGCGTGAATTTCAGAGTGCCATTTGCTCTTTTGCCATTTTTTAGGCCTCTCCCCATATCCACTTTGAAAATCGTCCTCTCCCAAGAATTGGACGGTCCCTGAACATCTGAAGTGCACACTTATTCAAATGAAAAAGCTCGTCATCGATCCCTGTCGAAGCGATTTCTTCGCTGTTTCAGGCGTTGTTGATGTTTTGTGTTGTTGCCAAAGTCGACGTGGGGAGGGAGCTGTTCAGAGAGCACGAACACAAGCTATGCGATCACGACGACGACTGGAACTCTTGCACGTCTCTGGCTTCCGTGTTTCACTCACTTACTCACTGCATTTCCCTTAACGCATCACAAAACTACTAAGCACAGCGTCTGTAAACAGCTCAACATAGCCGCTCAAAACATTAATGCCTCAACAGTTTTGTAGCCATGACAAGGAAGTAATTAGACCACGACGGCATGAGTACGTCTCAGAAAACTCACGAAGAGTGACGCTTCTGAACAAAGCGATACTACAACCTTCCCAATACAGCAACTTATGCCTTGGTTCAGACTTCAGCCTTCCTGTACAGTATAGGAGGGGTAGGAGGCATATGCGTGGTGGCATGTCCTGAACTGTATGCACTAGAGCACCCGATTTCAAGGTTCCAAAGCCGTGTTGAACTCTCGTCAAAAACTGCTTTTCTCAAATTCGAAATCAATACAGGATCAAGACGCTGGGCTTCCAAACCCTGAAGTGACTTATTTGAGGGCCAATAACGTATGGTTCTCCTTCGCCCGGTAACCGACTACGCCGATTACGCTTCATGCAACGGCCATCTTTAACAAAGTGTTCCCAGTTTCTAGTTCAGGTTCAGATTTTAATCTTATTCCTATTCCTTCTTGTTACATGAACGGTTAAAGAGCAGAGGGGATGGAGGTAGTCACAACCGAGTCCACCACTATGCGTACGATCGTGGGATCAAATCACGGATCGGAAACCCTTTAGGAAACATGGTCCCGAATGCCTTCGAGGATCCAGATTTGGTTGAGAGGAAAGCATTGACCTGAACACGGTCTAGTTTCCAGGCTAGCAAATGCAAAGGCAAAGGTTAAAGCACACCCGCATTCAAGCTCCATTTACACTGTATGAAAGTATTCTTCTTGTAATTCAGTAACAAATTTTTTATGCGAATCTCAAAAAAAAAAAATTACAACTACGAGGTCAATCCACCTGATGGGACCAAACAACACAAAACTGACCCTTGACTTGAAAATTGAGTCCATGCCCACAAATCTGATTTTCTAATACCGTATCAGGGCACAACCCTCCAGAACCCCGCCGTGGGACTCTCGGAGACGATGGTTTTTCAAAGGAATCCGCACAGCAATATGTTATTTATGGGAAAGCGTGGCTGAGAGAAGTCAAATGGGGTTCTGGTAATCTAATGGATAAACACAATAGCCGAAAGGTATAGGTGCGGATTAGGAGTCGTTAGGAGCGGATGTCTCGCCCATTACTCAGGACCTAAACATTTGCGTCGTAAATTTCAGTAAAAAAAAAGTCCAAAAAACACAAAGAGGATGTCGGTATAGGAGCGTAGGGTATCTTTACACTCGACAGTTTCACGCAGTACAAACCCATTCTAATTTTTTCCACCTCAAAATAAAAATTATCACACCTGAACATCATAACGACCGAGTCCCCGGTCTTAGCCGACACATAGAACGCTTTCAGATCGTGCTGCTTTGCAAAAGCACAATGGGCATCGACTGATACCTTCCGAAGACGTTCTTCATCCACTTTGTTGGCGACGAGGACGATTTGTGGAGGCTGTAATGGCTGATATCAACCTCTTTGCCATCTAATACATCACTCCTTGAAAATCACAGCATTACAATATTAGAGTTTAAAAGCCATTCATCTAAATAAATAAAATCTGAATGTCGGCTAGCCCTCGCCAATTCATATAAATATCCACTAAGCATTCAAACGGGAGGACTTAGTAAGAGTTAAATAACATACAAAAAGCTGCGTATGTAAAAGAAATTGAGGTATTGGAAAATACAGGGCACCTCTTGTAGTCTTTCAAGCTGCCCATGATGCCTTTTAGCTGACAATTACAGCTTTTTTGACTGGGTTTTTCGCCATCTTTGAAGTGTCTTTCGTTTGTCCAGGTGCCCAAGAAGGTGGCAACGCCGACAAAATCAGGCCAAAAAAANAAAAAAACCGTCTTTGAAGATCGCGGTTGACGATTGAACAATAATGACGTCCACAATGAAATACAAGGAACCGAGGTCCTGAAGGGGTCCAGTTTTAACCCTGCAAGGGTAATTTACGGCCTTCTATTCTCATCCTCTAACTGCAAACCCCTTAGTTAGACCATAGGGGGACGCCAGCACACCTCTGCCTAATCCCTCCTCTTCCAGTTCGTCAGTCGATAGACGCCCTTACCCCGTACTAACGTTGCCACCATCGCGCATTGACAAACAAATAAACGGCTATGGCACAGCTAAACAACACAGGCGCAGACAAGCAGGGCATGTCGTGCAAATAACGACCGACGACCGGATACCACACTCGACGACCCTTGCGAATGTTTGAGTCATCGTTTGAAAGAAAGCAGAGCTGTTCAATCCAGTTAGGACACGCCGTGCACCTTGACGATTTCTTATTTAAATCCAACTGAACGTCTTCGCTTGGGGTTTAATCATTTATTAGCCCTTGAAAATTTGTATGCAGATCAAATACTCATTCGTTCATCTGTGTGAGAATGCGTATTCGATTTGAACATCAATTTCCAAGATCTACTGAATGCTCACTATAGGGTTTAATTTAATAGGAATGTCGGAACAAATCAGTGAAAAAGAAATAAACAATTTAATTCATACCATCACTAATATATCTGGGACCTGTGTCTTTCGCCTAATATCATCACTTCGTTTTACCTTGAACTAAATATTTACTAAAATGAGAAATCCTATGCTACTGGGAAAAAGGAAGAAGGTGGTAAAGCTATTTAGCGTCAGACACAGGTCCCACATGACAAGACAGTCCGTAGGACTTGGCAGCCATTACAAAAGCTAACATCACTTATTGACATTTTTGGCCAACTTCACAGATTCAAGATACTTCCCGCAACCACCTTTCCTGGCCCACTTTTGTTCTAGGGAGAAGGAGAAACTGAAATACACAGGTAACCACTTATATCATCTCGCCATAACGACCTCATATCGATGGCCTTTACTTCTTATAAGAAACACTCACCTATTTTCAACCTCTCTACGCCCCTTTAATCTCTAATATTCCATTTTTCACAACAAATTTTAAACCAGCACTGGAGCAAGGGAAACACTGGCCCCTCATTTTCGATTGCCCTTCCCAGCCCACCCCTACCTCGCCGATGCGCTTCCAAGTGAGCTGTTTACGCGCAAAAGATGTTGACTAGTGCGTGGATCGAGGCCTAAACAAGACAACACGTCAACAATAAACAAGTTTTGAGGCCGGCTTGCGCCGACGTCACACTGATGTCCCCCTGTTGAACACTCAACGCATTAGTTTCACTACGGCTTCAAACACCACCGTCTCGAAACACTTACCATAGGAAGCAATTGGGGAAAAAATGAGGTGTCTCAGTTTGAAAGCAATGTTGCTACCAGTCAAGCTGGCGTCAAAAAATTAATGTCAAAGGAAATAGGAAGCCTTTTCGACCCAGATTCGATTCGACCCAGAATCGATCTACGAACTATATGATTGGTAGTTCCACCTTTCACTGATGTGCCATGCAATGCCTCATTGGAAACGAGACCATTTCATACACATTATGGAAATCCCTAGGTTCAAATTAAACAGAACTATTCGCGTGAATAAGAAACACTTCAAGCTACGAAAACTAGTAAATGACTAAGCTGCATTGATCGAATACCGTTCCTATTTACTACTTCATGACTCACACGCACCTGTTATAGGTAGTCCAGAAAACAGCTATTGTGGTTTTTTCCACTCCAATTTCAAAACATCCTCCAAACCAGGAGCCCGTAAACAAACACAAGCAATATCCCATTTGGAAACAAAAACACGCCATGTTTAGGTTGACCATCAAATGAAACGAACTTGTAGAAGAAAAAGGGAGGAGAGAATTGCACACGGTTTCTATTCATATAACTAATTACATTGTAATCATTCGTAGATCACAGATGAGAATTCTCGCGTAAGAAAATTTTTTTCGAAATAGAAACCATCAAATAATCATGGTGCTCGGACAGTTCAAGTTCAAGGAGGAGCGGTCAAAATTCTTATGGCATAGAACACACTTGTACAAGCAGATATAAAGAAGTTGACCGTAGTAGAAAAATCCCCTTCATTCGCTGAGGCCTGTAACAGCGAGCTGTACGCTCGATAAAAGAATGGAGTTGGTTCGAACTAAATGTCCTAATATTTTAGAAACAAAGATTAATCGCTTCCACAAAAGCGATCCTGAAAACTTCAACAGCCGAATGTACCCAACAAGGCAGAACTATAACGATCAAACTCCAACTTTGCTCATTAACTGCTTCTGAATTACTTTAGCTAAGTGAAAAATTTTTTCCCATCAAGTCAATTTAAAAAAACAGGTCGAAATTAGCTCGAAAAGCCGCGTGCTGAACATACCTTTTCTTGAGTTTTTGTCACTCGGCGAATCACATTCAACCAATCCTGAGTGTTATCGAAAGAGCTCATATTAGTGACGTCATACACGATTAAAGCTGCATGTGATCCATAAATATACTTGTCGATCATCTCGCCGGCGATACTCTGGCCCCCAATGTCCCATACCTGCAAAAATTGCCGTAACAAACACTGATTGCTCAAAGCACTCAAGTCTAAAAGAAAACAACCCATTCATGTATTGATTTATCCATTTGATCTACATGTAGTACGCGAAATTTTGATTGATTTTTGACCCTTTTCGGTACATGGAAACATTTTCAGATTCCACGTACAGAAAAGAAAAGAAAAATCGCGAAATAAAAAATTAAGTAGTGTTAATCACAGTGCTTGACATGGCTTGGCCATGTACCATGTACGAACCCATAGAGTAAATTTATCATTTCAGCAAGTTCATTGGTCCCAATCAAAACCTACGAATTAAAAAAAAAAACAAAAGAGGTGTCGAAATTCGCTCACCTGCAGAAGTACTTGTATATCCCCTGGAAGCGATATCCGTTTTGAAAAGAAGTCCAATCCCAAGGTCTGAATAATTAATTATTTATAGCTCGAAATGTGTCGACATGTAATTTTTATTAGTTCCTTTACATCATCCCTCAGAAGCGCCCACTGAAACACAACCCACAAGACCCCTGTGAAGCGTGGGCGAACAAGTATTTGTTTGGGAAGCATTTTACTGCGTAAAGTCCTTCGTGGTCGGTGAGAGATAATCTATGCCACCAGACGATGGGTTGTTTACACAACAAAATCGCCTTCCGCGTACTACTTTACGTAAACAATGCACAGTTCCCACTGGGTACCCTAGATGGGTCCAACAGCTTCCAAGCGTTAGGCACAGATGTAAACTGACACAAAGAGTTGATTGATACTGAGCCCTTCATATTCAGAATAATCGGTATAAAAACGTGACCTGACAAAATATAACAATAGCGGAAAATGAAAAAAGTAAAAGTAAAAAAAAAGATAAGTAGAAACAACTGAAAAAGGAAGCATCCCGTATTGTATGATGGAACATTTAATTTGCTGCTCCCTCCTCACCTCCTAAAGTTGGCTCTACCTCTCTGCGGCGTGGAGTATCTTGCTTTCTTGCCCCTATGAAGTCCCACAATATTCACCTAATGCCCCTTAATTATACGAACAGCGGGATACTGTCACTGGGACATCCTCAACTTGTTTCATATTGTAAGAAAAAGCGAAACTGGGCAGTTTCTCTATCAACTGAAGGAGGAGGGCTCTAAGCTGGTTGAGCCACTTTAACTACGTGCACGGATGAGCGAACCCAATCAACTTCAGCAAAAACCATGTGATCAGGACGAGTTGTACGGTCTAACAAAAACCACGCTCAAACACATCTTCAAGGTTTATATCGCATTACTTTCAGCCGCATTATCAAAATTACTTTGGAGACGTCCTCCGTGAAAGACTTTATGACGACAACAGTTTTTTATGAATTTTTGCACAGTGACAACCAACACCACCATCAAATTGCTGAAGATATTGGTGTTGGTTGCAAAGAGCAGAACCAAACCGGATCCTTTGCTCAACAATCAACCGGAAATGCAATTGATCACATGAAAACGGATGGGGAAAAGTACTAACTGCAACTGTATCAGTTCAGTAGTCAGTTTAACGCCGTCGCCTATGAACGGACCATCACGGATAGGTTTTTTAACAGTATTTACCACTGCTGTGGACGAACTTAATACCGATTGCACTGTGGCGTATTGGAACTGATCATAACAGTGATAAGGGCAACTGTCGCCCCACCAAATACACAATACGATGATGACACGACAAAACACGTTCCAAGGCGCTAACGTAACCGGATTTTAACACGTTTTGACAAGTTTTTCTCATAACAGGTGCACGGTTATTTGAACGCCATTCTCATAGACGCTGTTACAATGAAAAGGTTCATCTTATTCGAAAAAACCAATAATAAACAGTAGGCGTTGTTGATTGTTGTTGGTTGTTTGTTGACATAACTAACCGAACAACGATAAAAAACAATTTCACTATCTTTGTAAGATAATCGCATCGCATACTGCAGCGAAATAACTGCAGTTCACAAAAATATTAAGTCAAAACAAAATTAGAAGACACCCTGACGATTCAATGCCCATATTGGCTAACCGACTCATCACGTTGTACATGTGAGTGCTGATAAGCTATGACTCAAAAGAAGGCGAAGCAAGTGAAGTCTTTGTAGTGTGAGGCATAAAGGTGCCCAGAAAATACCAGTCTGGGGTCGAGACCCATACCAGACCGAAGTTTTACTAATAACTCGCCATCATGGTGTAACCAAATAAAGTTTTTCAAAAAAAAAAAAAACAATGCACATAATTTTTTTCCCATGGACGTGGTATTCGAACGGCCCAACAAAACAGCCCATTATTCCTAGCACCAACCGCCAGGCGCAACTCCGATATGCTTCAGAAAGACTTTCACAAACCTTTACTAACACTGAGATTTCTTCCAATTCACTGTCTGACAATAATAAAATACCAGTTGACTTTGATTCTGATTAGCTACTGAGGCTGATTACTTGTTCTGCTCATAAATCACCAACCTTTATGGAACTATTTACATTGGAACGTTTTACTAAACTAGTAATCGTGGCTCAGCGTGAGCTGCTCACTTCTTTTCAATACTAGAAGTACCTTAAAACAAATTACCTGATGATAGGTTCGCTCGAAAGAGTCCTTGACAAATCGCTGGCACAAGCATGTTTTACCCGAGGATCCATCGCCACACACGACCACCTGGGAAGTTGTAGGGATCAATGTTGGGATCACTTTACAGAGAGATAAATGACCATGGCTATTTACCTATTCATTACTTACTTTCGCAAAGGCATGCCACAATCAATACAAAGCCAGAACGGGTATAAAAAAGGCTCAAAAGGAGAGACCAAATGCTGAGAAATTAAGACGAAAACAAAAGATTTCGAAATCTTTCACACTATACACCTACACCATCCCAAATTAGTCTTGAAATCGAGCCCACAATCAATACCTATCCTTCTCAATCGTACCCTTTTAGTTTCTAGATGCTGTCAGAGAGGATTTCTCCCACATGTTATTTCTAGCAAACAACAGGTACAAAAAAGGAGCGAGAAAGAGGGATAATAGGAACTGGAAACGAAAACGCGATCATTCCAAAAAGGCGACGAGACATGGCACACAACCTTGCATACATAACACGATTGCTCTATAAAATGGTGGACGGAACTTTCCAGAAACGTGCAGGTCAAAAATAGATCGCCCGGGACCACAGGAAGCAGGTAATGATCAAAGTTACACAATACAAAAAGTAAGTTGTTGATTAATCAAGCCAGAAGCTTTGATGGGAGGAAAGAAACTTGGTGTGGGAGATGCGAAATCGATAAGTTTGCAGAAATTGCATGGTTCTATGGAAAACAAATTTGCAGCAGAATACAAAACATAGAAAAAGCAGACCACCGAGCATCTCTTCGAATCGAAATATTCACGTTTACAGTTTGAAGGCACGTCTTACCTTTAACACCACCTCCTCAGCAGTAGTTTCCGGGTCCTCTTCGGTCATTCCAATAGCTTCCGATACCAGCTATGACCGATCACACTTTTCAGGAACGGGAACGGAATCCCATACAAACGGACCACAGACAGAATTCGGGAGAGTTTCGTTTCGGAGCGACCGAAGTCGTGGACCGACCACGTTGCATGACATCACCATGGCAACCCTGCCTGCTTTTCCACCAATATATTCACCTCCAACGCTTCATCAAAGCACTTTCAGGATATGGAAACCTTACGTCTGTTGTCAAAGATTTAAGAAATAAATTTATTCAGAATCTGAGGTTGTTAACAAGGCATCAACAATGGTAACAGGAAGGGTAACCCGGCTGAGATCGAGGGATGCGCTGTTCTACGGTGCTTATGTGAAACTACTTACTGAGTGGTAAGCAGTAGTATCAACCGCTCAGCGTAGTTCCCAGCAGTCTTTTTATAAGCTACATATAGTTTAAATCATGCAAAAGGGCAAATAGATAACTTCGATACACAAACGAAAATTGGGGAGAGAGAATATAGAGGGAAAAAAATGAAAAAAAAAAACACACATCAAGAGAAAACTGCAAACATCCTGAGTCTTAATGATCGGACAACTGTCATAAACAGGCGATCATCGCCTTTGCACACAAACACAAAATCAGTCATCATACACATAATTATCATATGAAACAGAATAGTACTAGACAAAATTCAATTTCTTGCTGCATGAATCACGTTACACATGATACAAGGGAAACCTATTTGGAAAGTTCCCCATGGAGTCTTGATGTTTTTGGGCGGGAATCGATCGATACGCACCAAAGCGATGTGTAACGATGCACAGGTACATGGCGCATCGCGACCGCATGCATGCCAGACCGATACAGTTACCCTGCCAAACCAGGTCACAAAAAAATGAAAAAGAATCACCAGAAAAAAATGTTTAAAAGGTGCCCTGAATGTATGATATTGTTCGGAGTATATGTTGTGATAAGCGTATCATCAGATTTTTNTTTTTGAGAATGAGAGTTCTGGAGCAGAGCGCTCTATTGACACTGTAATAAACAGAGCGGAACATAAATTACCCATCTCTACGGAGACTAAGGTCATCATCATAAATAGGAGAAAGTTACGAAAAAAAAAGATGTTGATAACATCACAAGAAAAATATACATATGTAGTATAAATATTATACAAAAATTAGAGCATTGGCAAAAATCAATCATAATTAGGACATTTAAGGGATTTCAAAGAAGTTCAATTGAAGAAGGCCAACGGGACACGCCTCACAGGGTTGCGCTGGTTGGCTAACTTTCCTATTACGCTCTGAATTGTTCCACTAGAACATGACCAAATGACGTCTTCTCTCAGCAACTTGATGCCACCGGTGCCGGCTGTGCCTGAGGTGACTGTTGCGGCTCGTCAACTACCAGCCGTGATTCGTCCTCAGCCGGAGGTGTCGCATCCGGATCATGAGCTTCTAAAAACAAACGGAACTGAATGTAGTATTATACTGTTAACTTGGTGAGGGCTTCAGTGAGCCCATCGTTCGGTAACAATCGATGAAAAACTAACCTAGCCGTCCATTGAGCTGGGAATGAATCTGTGCTGCTTGTGAAACTGCATCAATATCCATTGGGGCCTCTCGTGGTTCGTCCTTCACATTGTTCATACTCGGCGTCACCGCACATGAACTCTGCTCTGAGGCCGCCGCCGCTGCTGACAGTAATGCCAAAGGATTAGTGTCACCGGAATTCGCTGAAATTCTCTCTTACGAAACTTGAAAACATGATGTTATTGCTGTGTGACATCAACAAATAAGGAAAATGACTCACCTAGAAATGACAACACTCCCTCGAGACCACCATTCAGCAGTGAATTGTCAGTCAAGTTAACGCCACCTTCTTGGCGTTCCATCATGCTCAAAGTTGTCTGATCAATAAAGCGCTGGGCCAACATCTACAAAAATACGAATAAGCAATACATCAGAAAACCAATTAAACATAAAATCTAACATTTGTGCATCAGACAGTACTAATGGGACACTCATCTGTAACAGTCTGGAAATGCCTACTACTTTATATCACCAAAAGAGATTGAAATGAGGATCTTATGTGCGTAAATCGATGTTCACCCTTTTTGCATGGACCTAAGAGGCTGTTCAAAGTATGCGGACAGTCAAAAGAATGGAAGCAAAATAGGGAACAGATGAAGTAGAAAACAAAAAATAATATCAACCAAATGAAAAAGAGGGAATTCATGACAAACCTCTTCCGGCAATGGTGTGTTTGGCTGGCTACGCGTTGCAGCTGTACGTTGTGGTCGCCTTCGGTAGAACTCGCTGTCATCGACTGTCCACACTGCACCTTTTACATTCTGTTCGACACGTTGGAAGCATTTATGCAATGACAGGTTATGGCGAACAGCGTTCTAAAAAAAGGAATCATTGAGAATTTTCAGAAGGAAACTTATCAGAAAATATTTATTAAACTGGTACTGTTCAAAGAAAATCGCGCAAGCAGCATACTGTATTATCCATCAAGCACTTCACTTTGCCCCTTTACTTTCGAACATGATCTTTCATCCGTTGCTCCCCTTTCAAGGCCGACGACAAGGCAGAGCGGATTCGTCCCTCAGCAACTACTCTATCGTTCCCCAGGTTCCACAGCCAGGTGCTATTTCTTTAAGAGATCGATAATCACATTTACAAGTTATTCGACAGCGTAAACGACGTCGTCTCGTACTTGCAAGTACGACGCCAGCAATGCGACTTTTTTTTATCACCGCGGGACGGCTTTTTGCATCGTCGCGTGCGACCTAGCGACATAGATTAATAGAATACAAGACGGAGGAAGGCGAGTCGACGCGTGACACTATACATGTGTTGCTTTATGGCCTTGCTAGAATGGAGCATCCAACACTCAACTGTTAGGTTTGAAACGGCTGAATGGAGAAGGAAAATGCACTCGGCGTATAGGCGAAGTTCCCTCTGAGTACTCCTCTTACAAGGTGAGCTCGTATAGGATGAGCTAGCAAGGGAGGAGGGAGCACTATGGAGTATATACCGAAGGCGTGAGAAGGGACTAAATATCGCTCACCTCAAAAAAAAAAGGAGTAAATCGCAAGGCAGCGCAACTCAGTGAACGAAAATACTTCCCTTCTTATCAGCAGTTCCTCGAAAGTGTCAAGACATTTGCGGAACACCACTTATGGCAAATCTTGAGTCCAACCGTCTTGCCTCACCCCTTTTTTAACTGAGATATGTATGAAGAACGACCAGCAAATATAGCTACGTCTGCAGATAGGCGCTTTCCTACCCCTCGAACTGACTCCTTGTTCTCCCTTATTGCACCAAACTCTGGTTTTACATTGATTCTGATCAAGGTCAGCTTTTGGAATCACATTCGAACCAGTCCCCTTAGCAAACCTAGTTAACCCAGTTCTCAATCCCTGTCGTTCAACTCCAAATATCCTGGTCTGTATATGTTTGCGCCATCGTCGAAACGCACTCGCGCTGGCCTCAATTTGCAAAATGGGGGCGTGAAAAAACGCAAAGCGAGCGAAGACAGTTTGTTGACAGAATGACAACGACGCCGACAGCGACAGCGCGACCATCACCGGCTTCGTGGATGGGGAAACAAACGCTGCCGACGTGTCCTCTTACAACAAACAACGACGCAACCCGCTCGTAATTGTCGCAAATTGTCGAACCACCGCCTCAGCACTTCATATGTACACGCAAATGGAATTCGGGGCTTTTTTATTGTTCGCTTGGTCATCACCGACTGACAGATAACAATGAATGGTCGCCCGAAAAAGGTTGGCGATCCTGACAGGGTATTCATCCAGTTGATGTCCTTGTGACGGCTAGTATCTAATGCCTGAACGTTTTCGGCCACCTTCCGGTTCTATCTGAGACCTACAGATCTAGGGTGTAGGGCAAAAAGGGCGTCATTACTTGCACAATCGTGGATAAAATCTCAATCGCGACGATTGGGACTTATAAGGTTCCCAATAATGGCAGGATCTAGTCTCGAAATGATCATTAAATCAAAACTTTTAAGTTTCCGTCGGAATACTCCTGCGAAGTCGTGTTTCCGGATCGATGCAAGCGAAAATCGAAAATTCCTAGAGCATGTTTGTACAGCTTCGACCGCGTAGCTCCATGCAACGTTTCAGTTTCCCAGCACAAAGGCTGAAGCTCAATCATGTAGGTAGCTCCACCGCAGTTTAACATTTTTCATCAGATGGCAATATCATGACGAAATGTTTAGGAAACAGGCGAACCAGTACTAGTAGGTGCTGTTTTTTCTGCGAAAACAGGGTCGGTTCTTCTGAATGGGCTCTTGTTAGAAGAACATATTGCCGTCAGACTTCCCTACTCTTCTTTAATCTGCTTTCCTAAGGCCACAACTTTAATTCGCAACCCTTAAGCTCCTACCCTTTAAGCCCCCACTTATGTAAACTCTCATAAAGGACCTAGAAAACTGATTGAGCTTATAGCACTAGAAACAGTTCTGCCATACGACCCGAGCTCAGAAAAACCACCAACACCCCACAATGTCCTCCACCATTGAAACCTATGGAGAAGTCTGAATACATACAAATAACCAGTCTGAATGACTTCTTTGAAATTCCGTTTACGTCCCTCTTAAAGAAGGTCGAAAACAACGTGCGATGCTATTACGGACACACAACATACGACTAAAAGTACTTTTCTTTCAGTCTCCACTTTTGCTTCGTACATTCACTTCCACACGCAGCTGCTGAGTCTGCCTCGCGCTTACGCATGCACACGCGCGTTTCAGCGCATGGAAAAAAGCACGAATGCACTACTTGCTGCACCCAACGAACATCAATCGGCCAGCCGAGGCAAAACAACTAAATAGAACCCCCGATAAACGGCTAACAGCCATCCCACATATACCCGGGCAATCAATATCGAATAATTAATAAGCAAAAGAAAATGTAAAAGGAACAATAACACCGATAAGAGAAAGAAATCCAATTATGACATACCTTCCAGGTGGCCGCATTTCTTCGGAAGTAGGCAAATGTTTCGGTAAACCAGGTGTAGATCTCGTTTAACGTTAACTGGCACTCAGGTGATTCCATAATAGCCTGTCGTATAAGCGATGCATATGTGTACGGCGGACGGACATCGTTGGTACGATAGAAGTCCCTGGAAAAAAGCACAATATCATGCACCTCCGTTGTCGTTCGAATCCTGTTGCACTCAACTACCCTACCCACCGCGGCAAAATGCAATGCAGAAGGTCTTTCTGCGATCGCGTGAACCTTCGAATGATTTTTACAGCGGTGAGAAAAATGACACATTAATTTGAAAGTGCAACAAAGGACAAATGAAAATTATATCGCGTTTGTTTCTTGTTTCGCGAAAAACACCACACGATTACTTGAGAATGCACCAAAAGTTCAGAATCTCAGGAGAACATTAATATTCACTTTCTTCCTATTTCGGCCTAACTACTAGGAAGTTCTGGGTAAGTGGGAACTAGGGTATCCAACAACTGTCAGAAAGTTCTAACAAATAATTCTCCTCGCAGACACTCGCAGTTGGGATGCTATATCTTACAATCGATAACTATCGCAAATATGCATGTATGCGCACCTACTTAGTTACCAGTTGTTGATAAATGGCTAGCCAGACAACAATAGCATCAACCCTTCGTGGAAAGAAACAAGCCAGCCCACGACAATGACTGCCGCTAATACTTTTAGATTCCAGCCTATAACTGCTCAGGCACGCCTTCCTTGTGGGCCAGAGGTGACAAAAGTGGCGATTCGAACACCAAGGACCTTGTGCACAGCCGTATGCTTATCCAAGTGGCCCTATGTCCAATCCTGAACTAGAGGTCGATGCATGGCGCAGTAGAGAGGGATCGAAGTGCCAAACAATCAGCTATCACGCAGTTTCACAAGGGCGTCAGGACAACGACTTGCGGAAACCGAGCTACATTTTTTCCTTACAGATGAATCATGCACCAACCGCAAAATGCAGAAGGCTCAGCGGATTTTTGTTGAGTTCCGCGCAAGATTTCATATAGGACCATGTACATGACAGCGCCGCCACTTGTCACTAGTCCACCTGTGCCCATAAATGATGGCATGAACGGTAAGTAACCAGAATGATTTTTACTGACCCAAACTACGGTTTGACTTTCTTCTCTTCAAAAATGAACCATTTCGCCATGAAAGGTGTTCCTGCGGCCCACATTCAACCAGTTCTAACCCAAGAAACACCGGTCGGCGATAACGAAATTAAAAGGAAAAACTTGTATACTACTACTTCCAACGCTACTACGAGTGTTCCTGGATAAAAACGAAAACTGGTTTTAGCGCCTACACACTCCACAAAAGGTAAGCATTGCAGACACCGCCGCGATGAATCACAGCAGGTGTCTGGAAGATAGGCGCACGTCCCCACGTGATAACGAAACCTTCCCCGTTGCTCATCACTTTTGTCTAAGGTGCCACCAAGACGATTCTGCTTGAAACAAAACGACTTGGCCGCGATAAAGAAGGCCCATAAACGTTGCCAGCCGGAATAACGTCTATTTCACTCAAGAGCAGACAACACGGCGAAAAACCAAGTGAGGTAGGTGAATAGCTGTGCTCGATTCCACCGTAAAGCACATATCAGCCCCACCGCATCCACTATAGTTGCTTTACTTTGTCACCCAAGTCGGTCAATCGGTAACATGACCATGACCGCATTTTCCCTGGTAGAGTAACATTCCTGAACTTGCAATTTTCTCGGACAACTGGTTATAGTGAACAGATCCGATCAACCTGTTATCGTTTCCTGAACTTATAACCATTTCAATCGAGCTAGCTAGCATAATAGTAGTAGATTCTTTTAGATAACGGTAGTAGATGTGAGAGGACACTGCACTTAAACACTCCTATGCACTTTAAGACGTCGGTATCAATGACGCATACAGACTAAGAATAACGCTTGTGACAGACTGATGCTACCTTGCTGCTGATCCTTTTTCAAACAAAACAAAGCTTGGTACGAGTTTTGGAATTCCCGGCAAGTAGGGTACGAGTAATATCAAATGTCAAGCAACCACATACAACCTATTGAACAAGCACAGACGGAAAAGAACAGAAAAAAAGAAGCAAAACTGAGCTCACCGATTCCTTGCAATATCGGCAGAGATGGGCAGCACTGATTTGTCAGAAATACGACTTCGTCGAGGAACGAACGTTTTCTGTGACTGTAGATCATTTGAGTTCGGTGAGCCCTCTGACGAGACGACCGACGGAGCCGGAATCGATAACGGCGTGGTAGCTGCTTCCGAAATCGACAGCGATACGGACGGTAAAGAGGACTGAAAACAATCCGGTGCTAATAACGACACAATAAGGCCCTTGAAAAGCTCATAAAATGGTGAGAAAGGTGGCAGAATAGGAGGAGCGAAACATGAAAAGAAGACGAGGGAGAAAGGGGAGGCGAATAAAAATAGACAATGTAGACTCAGAGACAGAAAGTTTATATAAATATCCAGGAAGACTCATTCTCAACTTCCCCCCCTGCAGACTACGTTTTCCTATTCTGAAACGGAGAAGCATCCACATGGACAGACCACTCAAACAACGCAGCGATCGAGCTGTGACTGGAAGGAATTGTCCTGGAAGAAGGAATGTTGTGTTAAATCCCAAACGTGGTCAACCACAGACATGGTATTCCCCGGTTTCGGGGCACACATAGGGGCTATGTAGCTGACGGCGCTTGATCGTTCCATTCACATCACAGATCACTCAGAGCAACTATCTAGTTCAACTAGTACAAACATATCAATCCCCGATAGATTTCGCCGGAACCCGAATGACGTCATATGTAGTTCCCGAACTCACTAACTCGAAATAGCACGCGTTTCCTGGCCGCTTGGCCGACGCCTGACCCAAATGATCTATCTCATCTCAATAGAACGACGAATTGGGGCCCCCATCCACTTTCCATAGTGACCATCAGACACTCCAAATCGGTCCCTAAATAAAACTATCCGGAACTATTGATTGTTTTCCCAAGTTTTCGACGGATTAAAAAGAAGGTCAACCACTCTGTCTCGGATGGGCCCCGTCAACAACACATCAGCTGATGCGTTGTTATCTACCAATGTTTTTGTTGTTGTGTTATTCGATTGTTGCTAGTTGGTTGGTTGTCCTCGTATGCATAAACATCGCCCCTTCCTTCGGGTGATCCGGTTTATGGCTCCATGCCAACACATTTTTGTCGACCCCCGTCGCATGTTGCCCGCACGCTTGCCCTTGCCTGCTTCCCTGTGTACGTGTCTTATTTACACAATCATGTATCATGTGAGCGGTACCCACCACCATCGTACACCATGTGAGCGAATGTGCACTCCTGGCTCGACTGTCTCCACATAGGTCATTTGACGTAGTAAATCATCAGAAATCAGAAAGTCAGGATGATTGGGACTGGTTAACGCAGTGTTTTCATTAGTGCTTAGGGAGAAATTGAGAACTGAAGGGCAGGTGGCTCGGATCTGACCAGCTACTTTCTGCACCACATACTCAAACTCCAAGTGGGAACTCCCTGGTTTTATAAGACCTATTCGTAGGCTAATACACAGTATGACATTCTGGGTTCAGCTCAGTGCCTAGGCCCCCTCAGATGAGCCTGCAACCAATAATACCACTCCTTTAGAGCAAAACTTCATGCACCCAGTCGAGATTTGATCTAGGGCCTGAATGTCTCTGTGCCAACTGCGCTGAGCCTACGAATAAGAAGGACTTCCCCTTCAAAGAGATAATCTTTGAGCCATCGGCTCCTTCTTGCGAACCATCTGGATCCACTAACGTTGGCAGAAGCCTGCTAACTTACAAAATAATTCACATTCAGCCTTATTAGCCCCGCAACACATTCATGATCTTCTGGTTAGGTGGCTGATAAACGATGCCCACTGTTTACAAATAACGAGAGTGTGATAAGGTTTATTGAGCCGTCTGACGGCGTTAAGAGGCTTATCGCCTGTCCCAAATGAATTCAGACAAGCTCGAAAAAACGGAAAAAAGGATTGAATGGGAAGAAGACAAAGGAAAGAGTACGCATGTAATATGGGAATGAACATAAGCCCACAGCACACAGGTGGTCGTTTCAACAGGCGACTTCAAACATCAGCGCCATTTATCCCTAGGTTGTCCATGCCCTTTTTCCTCATAACCATCGGAGAAACCAACCTCACTATCAAAGATGCACACGGCCCCGAGAATTCATTCGAAAAGGACAGTACAACGTTACCGTAGGAACAATACCAGTGAAGAACATCACAAATGAAAGCTCTTCATTGGTAGCAAAAAGAGGACAAAGCCCAAATACTTCAGGTAAAAGCACTATGCATGCAGTGGCGTTCTTAGGCAGATGTTGGTCACGACCATTCAGGTATGTCCGTCAATTGAAGGAGCACTAATAATTACAAAAATCGAAGCAATGACCTACATGACCATAAGATCAAAGCGATAGAATTATGTCGTTAATCCATTCCGTTTTTTGAAATAAGCCATCGCATTCAACTTCCATTTAGAATAGTAAAGGCTTTTGAGTACCTACACATCCTTTACAAAGACCTGGGCAGAATGCAACCGTCGTAGAAGTCAGTGCTCTTACAGTCTTGACCAGTCTGATACCAATCAACCGGCTTCAAAAGGGTGGAAGTTCTGGTTAGGCACTGTGCGGGTTCGAATCGAAACCCATCTCTGGACTACGCCTCACTTGCCACTACACTACCTCCGCCCTGAACACCTATGTGGCCGTTATTCCTGAAGTACGTTGTCGAAACATCTTCTCGTCTCTTCAAAGTCGTTTGTCAATGTATTCACTAGTAGGCAGTGTTATACTGTCCAGCGAGTAAGTATGCCGCATGCCCCGCTTTGGTCACCTGCTGATGGCTGTTATTGAAAGTCTACAGCATCTCATGACGAATTGGCGTGTATGAGTGCATATATGTACATTACTTCATGATCACACAAGCATAAATTGTGTGTGCAGACATTGGTGGCGGTTATTAGAACGATAAAAGGACATGAAGGCGATAACCAGCTGCCAGGGAAAAAGAACACGCGAAAACATCTGCACTTTCACTTCTGAAATTCCACTTGCCACATTACCAATACCTCTATCATTACATATAAATTGAACTACGCTCAAGAATCAGGAATCTCAGAAAGCTTTTCACAGAAAATGACGAAATCTACTTAACATAGACAATGGCACACTTTTAATGACAGTATAGCGCACAGAAACTACTGGACTTCTTCTAGAGTCACTTTCGAGATTTTCGGATTTTAAATGGTCAATAACGTCGAATCGTTATTTTTGCTTTCTGCCGCAATTCCCAAGATACGAAAGACCAATGGGTTCAACGTTCATATAGGATGCAAATACACCAAGCCGTATAATAAATAAACGCATAGACAACTACTTTTTTTGTACAAGTAATTGAGGCTAGACATCAGCTCATAAGGCAATCCGATAAGTTGCGATTCCGGTACCCCAAAACCTGGGTGATCGATCCACTCTTTTCAATGGTCAAAGGATCCAACCAGATGTGAGCTTCCCATGGGCAACCTGGATGAACCTGGCAAGGATCGCACCTGGACTGAGCTGTGCGGATCGACTAAATTATTCGACCAATTGACTAAATTACTAAGTGCCGCTTAAAATCTGTTCAGTAGGCAATTTATCATTCTCACTTGAAAAAAGGCCATGATCTCTTTAAAAGAACCCACAAAAACACTTTCAGAATGTTCATATCCCTTCAGAGAGGCATGACGAACTAGCATAACTGCTTTACAAAAGCAGACGTAGACTTCTTCAGCCTCATATGCATGATCCCTAGGGTCTGGAATCAAACAAAGAAGGTGCCCAGAGATGAGCATGCATTCCACGCAGCCCGAATAATGGCATCGTCAACGTTTCCCTCGATGTCAAAAAACCAGTCAAACGTGGTCACCCTTGACTGTTGCTTACTGTCTGTCTGCCCCATGCCAGCGATACCACACACCTTTGTGACGTAATCGCTGCTGATAAACTATTTCACGCGATTGAAATCGCAGCCAACAACAATGGAACCTTTCACAACTTGTCACAATCTTGTGATAAGGCGCACGTGATCTGCGAGGACAGATTCTACACTCATAAACCCACTCTCTATTGATTATACAACGCCCATTTGAATGTGGGGTATGCACTTACAACAGTACTTGTTACAACACATCATACTGTTGACCGTAAAACGATAATACAAGAATGGCATCGTCCTCCGGTCACATTTAAGAGACCGTCTGAGACGTCTGGGAGCCAGGCCAGCCACTCACCCATATGTTTTTGGACACACAATTTGCTAACCAGTTAATCAGAACGTCAACAATTGCCGTGAAAGGCAACAGAACCACAAACACGATAACAAAGTCATTCAAAAGTCAAAATGTTGGCTCTCATAATCCGCTCGGAAAGGTTCTAAGTAGGCTCGACTAGCAAATTGCAAGGGTATTGAGGGCCGATTCCATGTGACGATGATGTCAAGAATTTCTCACCATTCTATGCAGAGTGTGTAAGAAACAACTACACAAAGGACACCCTTCACCTCGATTACACATCTTCAGCTTATTGTCAGGAAAATTCTTGAAACCAGTCGTATTCCGTGAACATACGAAGTAAAGTACAATTACACAGTGTTTATTGCAGCAAGGTGTACTTTCACTGCAACCATGGATAAAACCCCAAGAGCGGCCGTTTTTCCATCAAGACGAAGTGAAAGCTTTGCAGCCCAACCAACCAGCGTCGCTTAGCTACACAAACACCAAAAAACCATGCTATGATTGGAATGAATGGGTCTCGCCCCATGATTCTGTGTTGCTGATGAGCATAGGTGTTCTTTGCTTAATGTGAAAAACGACAAAAAACTCCAATTCAACAGCCTTCCATGTAGAGAAGTTTATCGATAGAAAAGTCACAACTTTGATAATTGCGTAACTTCTCGGTCAACGCCTTTCTGGTATCAAATTCCAACCCATTATAATAAAAACCGTTGATAAATGATGCCAGTGGATCTCTCTATCCAAGGTATGGCACCAAATGCGTGGTAACCCTGGGCGGAGAGGACAGCCCTTCCCGAGGAGAGCAGTGACAGGTACTTGTAATTAGTAAGATGCACATTTGCAGTAGAATTCTGCATTCGTACCCTGTCTCTGTGCGCTACTTGTCTTCGTTGGCTGCCATCCGCTTGTTTGCCTACGCCGTTGCCGATGTGGTGCTCGTTTGCTCGCATACATACACACACATACACACAGCAAAAGTGCATGATGAGGACTGCACACCGCTGACCGACGCTGCTGCCGGCCGGATCGATGGCGACGTCGGTAGCGATGACGGTTGAAGGTCTTCTGAAGATTCTTACTATTTCGCGAATTTCCTATCAATTTATCTTCGCTTATTTGACAACCGTTAACCTTATCGCACCGCCAAGCTCAAAAACTAAATTCCATGTAATTCCTACCACTAGCAGCAGATATAGCGATCACTCGATCGATAACGGCTCAAATCAACACTGCCGCAATGTTTTGTTTATCTGCCGCATCGATCGTCGTGTAAACAAACGTCGACAAGCGGCGAGGCCGGCCGTCGGTTGACAATCGCACGCAAAAGGGCACTCAGAGTACGAGTGGCATCGATTGATACTCATTAATAATACTACTGATGAATGTTGGAAGAAAGGATGTAGGTGAGGACGAACTAGTAGCAGACGCTCCCAAAAACATGCAAGGCTATGTAGATGCAATCAGTGAACAAATAAAAGACCAAAGACATCTAGTGACGTAAATACATCACGACCAGGAGATAATAGATAACAGAAGACAACAGCTGGCATTATGAAAATACAGAAGAATTTGATAAATGAAAGAGATGAAAGTAAACAGAAATCGGGTATACCACAAACCTGAACTGGTTGCGTTTGCGTTGACGAGAGCGATGAAATAGTTGAGAACGATGAAACCTCCTGCTTTGGCGATCGCAAGGGTGAGGAGTGTTGTTCAACCTAAAAAAATCCTAAATAAATGGAAAGAAAATGAACAAAAAAGTCGAGTTCTGGGCATATTCATAATTTACGCAGTTTCAGCTATAAAAATTTCACGAACAGCAAAGGAACACCCTTAAACATCGAACATTTTCTTCAACGAATTTCATCAAAGTGAGACATTCTGATGACTAACATGCTGAAAAAAGCTTTCACAACTGGATGACTAAGATGTTTCTGTCAAAATCGGTTTCAAAAGACGATCTTTAATGAGACATTGCGTCACTGACTGGAAATGGTGCCGCTACCCATGGAAATATGGGTTTGAATCCGTTACCGTATGAACGGGGAGCATGGTCAAAGGGAGATCGCTCTAGTTTGGGGTCCACTATAGTGATTCAAATCCGATTCCAATCATGTGCGACTGGTAATTTCTTCTACTGCATTCCAATCATATACGATGGGTAGGGAAATCAGCCGGGATACAGTAAAAAGTATCCTGGTTTCACATGACCGGCTCACATCAAGGTCGAGCTCGTGGTGTGACTGNAAAAAAAAAACCGGATGGGTGGGTCTCGATCGAATTGTGAGCTCAGCAGTTTACAGTTCAGCACTTGATTAACTGAGCCATTACAAAAAAACAGAGGATATCAGAAAGAGAAAATGGCACGTGAGGACGCCTACCACGAACGAAGTAGCATTTGTCGCTCTTGGTATGAAGTCTCGATCTACTATCTGAAGCATCAAACAGTGGGTCAATGAATCACTATGTTTATGATTGAGAACGCAGATAGTTGGCAGTAAAAAAGAGTGATCCTGTATTGAGACGAATGAGTGGATTACCTCAAGAGGTGGGAAAAATATACGAAGGTTGTTGAAAATTCGAATGGTAGAACAATGAAGAAGATATATATTGACGCTACCGAAAAACCGAATTTTCAACGTTTGGGTGTTGAGAGGGTGGAGAAATCATGCGTAGGGCATGGCCGTAATCTTATTCGGAACTGATGAACCAGGTTACTGGAAATAGGAGGTAATAGAGAATAAATAAAACCACTTAGATATTCGCAAAGATGTCGAAGTTGAAGATGAAGACAGATATTGATGCTTAATCTCGGACGAACAGGAGGTATGACATCAAAGTCACTTTAAGAGACTTGGATCATAAATAACGTCTATAGACAGTAATGGAGACTGTAAGAAGAAGAAGAAGATGCACATCTTCGCTCATTTCTAAACCAAATGCAATAACGATCAACAATCACACGATACTGGTTGCATACGTAACGCACGAAATATTATATTTCGGCTTTGGTTGTACATCATATTTACTGGAAATCTGTGGAACTATAAAAACTAGGAAAGGCGACGGAATCTCTTGGGGCAGACATTTGCCAATAAGGAATATACAAAACCGATCAACAAAGTCATAGTATTTTCAGTGTACATCCGATGTCCCGTAAGTAGTAAGGCGTAACAAAAATCACGGTTACCATGCGGTAACGTAATGATGGGTTTTTCGAGACCACTACTCTTTGTTACGACATCGACCACACAGGAAGTTATACAGCTCAAAAACTACGACTGCCATCTAACCGCGCATGGAGGAACGCCCCATAAGACCATATCAAATTAGAATATCAAGGACTAAAAGGTTTGCTCACCTTTCCTAAAGCCGGTGTTGTAGTGTCTGGTGATTGTTTCATATGTAAATGTTGCATCATTGCTTGTAAGCGATTACGTTCTTTTGTTAAACGATGTTCAAGACTGTCGACCAGTTCCACTTGTACACGCATATCGGAGGTAGATCTACACAAAATATACAATCAATTGGATACCACTGTAACGAAACTGACGAGAAAAATAAACAATGCATAACTGCAGCTGAAAAAAAAAGCGAGAGAACGCGCCGAACACACAATGCGGCTCATTTCTCTTTAATGTGTTGCTGTCAGCAATGAAATCTCTGGTATTGGAACAAAAATTGAATTAATATCGCCTAAATATTGCTTCTCACAAAAGCCTAATAATATGTGAAGTTTCATGGCAGATTCTGAGTTATATTTCCCAGCCGTTTGGTTTTATTCTGCGGAAGTAAACAACAACACATTCAGAAGCTCCACGGATATGAATCGTCTACGAGGGTGACAAAACAGTCGCAATTATGATAGAAAAAACAACTTTGTTCGCGTAACAAAAACGACTAGTCACTTATAAAGGCACTTGAAGAGTCTCTGACTAAGCCCTTCAAAAAGACGACCAGATGGCCGTAAGATCCTTCCCTAGAAAGTCGCTTTTAAGCACCATGTCAGGCCAATTGTTGGGATTGTTGTATTCTACTAACATTTTTAGGCACGAAATACAAACTTCATAAATATTAATTAATTCAAAACAAAACAAATCTAATGAAGTTAGCGCTCAGTTTCTGTTTAGCTGGAGAGAAAGGCCTTGCTGCCACCATAAGTCTTGCCTACCTTGAAATCCTGACGCAACCATAGAAACCTGGCGGGAACCCCAAAAAAGAAGACCAGCCCGTGAGTCAATGACAGGCTGTGGATAAACGTAAGATACAAAATTAGTAAGTAATGTTTGTAAATACCTATCAAACAACAGAAATAATTCCAAAGTTCAACAAGGAGTTCAAATGAGCGCTTTAATTGATTTAGGACAACACGGCGCTGTGCTTGCATGTTTGCTTTTTTTGATGTATGCCAGAAATGCCAGATATGTAGACGTCTGTTACGAACAAAAGCAATTCTTGAACATTTCAGAATTTGTCTATATCAAAGACAAAAAGACGAATATTGGCAGCAACTGATATTTCCCGTCGAGAAATCGAATCAAGCAATAAATGAAGTGGTGGCAAAGAAAGTGACGGACAATAAAGAAATCAGAAATGGAATATGAATTGCGTCGGGAAAAGGCTATTCACAAAAATAAACATAGAACTTGCTTTCCGAAAATTATTATTTGCAAGCTTTCTTTGGTTACCAAATCGATACAGATGCAATGTGGGAAAAAATCAATAAAAAATTATAATTAACTAACCTCTCATTGAAAGTATGCGCCTGTGAAAGATGATTCAGGAATACAGCCAGATTCTCACATGGATGATTACATTCCGGCCAAGCACAGAGGTTATGCTGCCATAGCGGATGTGTCATTGAGGTACCCGGTAGGCAGCCGAGATCCAATGGCCCTGGCAGACCGGGCAAAAGTGGTGGCAGACCAAGCAACGGGAGCATTTGTTGAAACAGTCGATTCACATCCTGACTAGCCCATGACTGATTCAGATTCATTTGATGATTGAACAGATTCGCCGCCGCTTGATTACTATTCGATCGGAATTGATTCTGTAGACGTTCTTGAATAGCCAACATTAGAAGATTTTCGGTGGCACCAGACGGATCAGCAGGAGGCCGTTGAGCCTCTGATAGCATACTCGACGTCACTGGCACTGATGAGTCCTCCTAAATGAATCAGCATCATAGCACTCTATTTGTTGTTGATCACTACGATAAACATCTCGACTGATAAGCAACGAAAACACCAACAAAAACAAGTAAAGAGTAGGTAAACCTAGGATGGAGGTGAGTGGTGATTGTTTGGGGAATCGCCCGCCTAGCTGCTGAAGTCGGGCCATAAACAAGCAAATAACTACAGTAGTGATGACTACGACCGTCAATAATAACAACAACGCGGCTGAAGCTGTGTGTAAATCTATACCCTACGAAATTTCCGCAATTGTACACAGAAGACACGACATATGACGAGCTATAATGCCCTTTGGAGTAGGCGAACGTGTTCCAGGATGAGTATGTGTATGTGGCGCAAGGAAACGAGGAGAGAATCAACAAAAGTGCTAACCGGGGCGGAGCTGGGGCATTAATGCCAGAGATGCCCTGACAGACAAACACATACACACACGCACACGTATTCAATCGCATCGCCCAATGCTTAGAGGTCAATATTGGCCGTAACTAGGGCAGATGGACGCTGTTGCCCAGAAAAACACCAAAACAGAAGTTTAGTTACCGCGAGAAGAGCCTTCAGCGAATCGGACGACATCCACTTGGCTGCGACTCAGACGACGACGTAGTACGGTGGGAGACGGTGAACGTAACGCAACTAGTGGCACTAACCCACTCACCCACACACATGTATACGCACGCACATACGCACACATACACACACACAGACGGCTGAGAAAAGTGCAACGGAAACGCCTCCGATCGAGCCCCCCAAAGAACACATAAACACACTGACGACAAGTGCATGCGGCGCGACAGAATGAGAGACGAAGACGGAGAGATGGAGATGGAGAAACCCTTGTTTCTTCGAATAGAAGCTGGCTGACCTGAGCCATCCGAGTCTCAGACGACAACGACGACGACGTTGCTACACAGCACGACGACGACGAGGATGCTGGCGATGGGTGGTGGTGACAAATGTGCCCCGGCCGTGCGCTGTTTACCCGATGTTTACCCGGCCGAAAATGTAAACAACGGCGCCGAGGGACTATGCCGTGACGAGAGGGCACAGACGGTGCTCTGCGTCCCTGCGCGCCCGCCAGACTCCGCCTATTGCGTGCACTTTTGACGGAGGCATTGCGCGTTGCGGGTTACGGTAACATCGCATACATACACAACACACACACACACACGCACACACATTCGGGCATTCGAAAATAACACTACAGCAGCCATCACGCCCCCCTCTCTATCCCTGCGCCATCAGCAGGCCGCCAGCAATGACGACGGTATGCATGTGTTGTGGGAAGCGCCAAGACCTCACACTGTTCCTTCCATTCCCCCTCCTTCGGTGAAGGAATCAAAGAGGGGCAGATCGTTGACGTCTTGATTTACACGGGCGGGGCGCGTTGTGGTTAAAGCAAAGCTGCACGTGGTCTCGGATAGACAGAAATCGCATCAAAACACAGCCCTTGGGCACTTCCGTAAACATGCTGAAGACCTGAATTTCAAATATGACATCATTCAAATGATTGCCTTAGTCTTTTTTTGCTTCAGCAAGGATTACTCAGTGGTTGTTTGAGGAAGCAGACAACTTGGGCATTCACACGAAATGATCGAAAATCAGATGAATATAAAACGGTGAATGTGCGAGGAACTCATAATTACTGGTAATTCCTCATACGGTTCTACAATGGCGATTCCTATAACTGTTTGCGGAAGTAGTTATTTATACTTCGAAAACGAAGCATCCTGATTACTGTGATCCTGGATGGCTAGGACGAAGAAGAGCAAAAATGCAAAAAAAAAAAATCCTCAGAGGTTCTAAAAGCGCACAGCGGAAATAACCATGTTAAGTACTTCAAAAACTCAACTATGTTGAGTAAAAATAAGTAGATTTGTGCTAATTGTCCATCAAGAGTTTGTTCGAATAGCAAAAATTTGATACAATACCAAACGGCTGTCAGAAAACAGATTTCAAATAATATGAATAATATTTTCAAATACAATACCCTATTATAATCTGTTGAGATACACTACTCAAATAATTTATGCTAGTTGTCCATCAAATTGTTTCCTAAAACTTCGAAAAAACCGTAGAATAAACACAAAGAAGAGAAATGTCAAATAATTGGAAAATATGAGTTTGTAAGCATTTTATCAAGAACTATATCGGCATATATCACATAATCATTACTTGTAATTATTCTGTTCATCATAAATAAAGCTTCAAAGGATCGATGACTTTGAAGAAAACCGAGGAAACATCCACAATGGGGTTTACATAAATCCAAGAATCAAAAGAAAAGTGAAGCCAGTCAAGAGAGAGCCTTCGGGATTCTCAGAGTTTTGGAATATTCAATCCTATGTTATTTGATAAATAGAAGAAAAAATGGGAACGGATGAAGACAAATATACATTTCATGCCAGTTGTCCGATCATAGACCATACCACCACCAACGATCATAAACCATGATGAAAACCACGGGCCCATTGGAATAGCAGTGTGCCCATCACCCGAGGCTCTCCAATATAACCTTTCTGAGTCGGCGTTGTGTGTTTTTTTTTCAAATGCTAATCAATATGGGAAAATTGGTAAACACACAATGGGAGCCCCCTTGTATATGTGTATCAATCACTGTGTATTGATCCATGATCAACAATAACGTTTCGAGGAAAAGCATGAATAGTTTCGATAAAAAAGAATTGCTGGAGTTCTATAAAAGGCTTGTCGATCGACATGATCGTGGTGTTTATGGTCTACGGGGATTAGGTATCCACTCAGGATGTGCCATGCTCTCCGGTTCATTGGAAATCGCAGGGTAAACTGTTTAAATACCTGGACCCTCCATCTGCTCAAAAATTACTTATTTGAGAAATCGGGCTGCTATTTTTTTTTTCTGATGAGCCGAAAACAACGCAGCGACTACCTGATGTACGAATATCTCAGTTTCTAAATGGTTTTGAGCTTATCATAAAAGGCAGGGGGCTCGACCTGTGCCGAAAGTCCAGTTCTAACTGATGTGGATCTCGGCATTAACCCGGCCGCCTTTGAATTTTCTATCACTATTGCTAAAGCTGCTTGTTCTCAGCTCAAAAATCAAAGGAAAAATGGACGGATTATTTTTGACTCGCCTCCTTTGAACCACAGAAATCACAAGCTGGTTACAGTGATGACTGAAGGAACGATGGAGCTCAGCTCGAAAGGCAGGGCGCGAACTACTCGAAGATTGGACTTTTTCGTTGTGTCCTCTGCACACTAGTACAGTATCAACATGTTGTGCTAGTGTAATTATAATTTATCAGTCATCCGTAACAAGTTTGTGAGAAGTAATCAACGATAACAAGTACGCGAACTAATGCTTTTACCAAAAAACGGAGTCCGAAACCTTATTATGAGCACAGAACACCCAAAAATGTCATATTCAAGCGATAAAAGCCAAATTATGTTACTATGTTCAAAAATTTCCAGCGGTGAGAAGGGAAAAATGACTAAACTGAGAAGCATAAAATGGATTTCTTTAAGAAAAACCAATATTTCTATTTACCGTGGTGGGGAAACCTGAAAAAGGGTTTAGTTTCTTAGTTGTATTACCCTTAACTGGCCTTTTTTTCTGACAAAACACACATTGAAATAAGTCCAGTATCCTGAATTGAGAACAAAGGCACGGCGCATTCTGAGGGTTTCGTTGGCACAGAGCGTCTGTGCTTAGAACTTACTCACTACATTCATTGTTCAGTAAGAAGTAATAACAGAATGGGAAAAAAGTGCCATCGAAAAGAACGGGTTCAAAAGAGGTGATTCTCCTCCTGCCAGGTTGCGCCCTGCACCAGTCACGCCATGGAAATCGTCCATACGGTCAGATTTTACTACGTCGGCTAAGCCTCCACCGTTACCAGGGATTCCGTAACACTTCTCGTAAACGCTCTACGAAAATTGCTTTCGCAAATTCGAAGAATGAAAAAGCTGTCATAGGTGATCGTTCGCTTGTGGCAACGTGAGGATTACGTCGTCATGCCGCCTTGGAATGTCCGCGATATGCCCTTAGCGGCTTACGAAACACTGTTTATCAGGGGTCTGTGTGTGAATATTGTTAAATAGAAACTAAAAACAGGTTCTGTTTTATGACCGAAACAAATTCACGTCATGTTCCTCTGATGTCCACAACGGAGTATACAGTTCACTAGGCAAATGCTCTATTCGTCTGGTTAGGGCAGCTCGCCCTTCCGATCAGAAATCGAGGAATCGAGCTTTTTACCTTCGGCGTTGGTTGCTAGGAGATTATAGAATTTGTTTGTAGCGCATGAGGCATCTGTTTGTTTTTACTGCTCATTACCTACTGAGGCCCACAAATTGTGCCTAGGCAGCAAAGTGTAAATTAGTCATAACTTTCCTCGATCCTGACCCAGAGTTTCTAACATAATATGAAAGGGATACAGGTGACGGACAGCAAACACTAATGGTTGGTGACAGGTAGAGATAACATCCAATTAAGACCGATAAGGGGCGATCGGTGTATCTGGAGTTGGGAGCTTCATCAATGAACGAAGATCAGAGATGCTGCCAAGAAATCGAGAACCACGTGGGCTGGGCATGCCATGCAATACTGTGGTGACCGTTGGTCCATGGGGGTTACCGAATGGAAATCTCGAGACGTCGAACGAACACCAGGGCGGCCGCGAGCACGACGTTAAGATTCTTCATGAAAGCTCTGAACGAAGGGAATGCTATGCTTCATGTCACTCGAGCGAGGACCCTTCACTGGACTACTCGCAACAGGGACGAATACCGAACTCGCTGGTGCCCGCTCGAGGAAACCGATTATCAACGACAGGACTGTCGATACCGGTGAAGCGGCTCTAGAAGGGAAGACATACCAAATTTGTGACGCCTCTAGCACTGAAGCGAAGCACTGACATTTAAAAGTGATATGTGAAGTGCGATGGGATGATGGGAAAAAGCCTCAACAAAATAATGCCAAGAGATAAGAGATGATAAGAAGCTTTGACGAAATGAGGCGTTAGATTCGTCTCTCCGTCCACATTAACAGGGGAGCCTTGGCACTTCAGCCTATTATGTGGCTGTTGACGGGATAGTAGAGAGAATTAGTAGGAGAAGATAACCAATGGTAAAAACTGAAAAACGGATCTAAAAGGGAGAAGCAAAAAGATGTTGAGCTACAATGTAATATTAAGGCGTTCACCCGACTTCCCAAAAGTAAAACGTTAGCTGTAGAGAAACCATAATGGGAAGAGCTCCAAACTAAGCAAGTGGTCACTGGAAGAAAGTGGTAGTGGTTGATAAAAGTTGATAAAGGCTGATAAGCCCAGATAAGGAATACTGAAAGGGGTGGGTCATCAGATTGTTTATGTCGTCTTTTCTGAAGATTTACTTTGTGACTGGCGAATAGTATGGATTGGTGGATGCACTGATGATGGATGGACGAATTTCTTGAGTCCTAATAACATTGGTAAAAACCGATAGAAAGTACCATGTGTATAGCGAAATTGGCTTTATTTCTTTAAGCACATCCTCAATCCTAATCCTCACGTGAGGGGAGTCAATGGGATATCCTCGCGAGTGTTTTCTTCTATTTT